CGATGATGAATGAGAAAAAAGAGAAGCGAACAATGGATTCGACAGGACGCGCAAGTTTGAATATTTTTAATTGGGAAAGCTACGGATCAAAGGATAATCTTCTTTCTTTTAGGCAAAGAGAAAGTAATTCTGAGCGTAAAAGAATGGCGGAGAAAGAATATATACGAGAGTAGAAATAGACACAACAACTATACCAAAAAAGAAAACGACAAAGATACCAATAAGGTGTCTGAGAGATTTACAAATTTGCAAATTCTCAAATTTGCCAAATTATACGTCGATAATATACGTAAATAAAATCAGAGCATTTCAGTGAAGCTGCCAGCTGTCGAGTCAGACGTCGTACTTCGTGCAACTATCGATCCAGCGAGGTGTTTGCGTTTGTTTGCACACAGACACACATACTGGTAATAATCCATTTGATTACCATTTGGTGGGACACATTGTTGGACGATCCGCCATTTAATTGTTGACCAAACGTGGAAATTGACTCGTACGAAAGAGCGCTCGAGGGAAATTTCGCGCCTCGTTCCGGTCTGAGATTCTTCAAAGCCATACTTCCACCAGGCGAGATTCTGTTGACTTTCATTGCGACGCTTTCAGAAGCTTCCCGCGTGTTCGCATACGTTACTGGGAAGCGTTGTTACAACGTCATTTTCGCTTGAATAATGCAGCTCGAATTTCTTCCTCTTGGCCTCGCCTCGAGATTCACTCTGCGAAGCAGTTCAAGCGCCGCGACGTTCAAGCAACCCTGTACGTACAATATATCTCAAAGGCTAAGAAAATTGACTGCGTGAAATTGCGTTTCCGTCGTTTCGGGGATTTCCATTTTGCGCTGCGACGCAGCTCACGGTCTTCCGAGACCTAACTGTAAATAATCGTGTCTCTCCCGAGTAAATAAAACTTACGAAAGTGGTCTTTAAGAGTTTCTTCGGAGATTAAAGAACTCGCAAGGTGGACGGGGGCTTATCTAGTTATTTCTCAGCGAAGATTAGGATAAACACCGGTGAAATGTCGGGCCAATCGTCTTATTCGCTACTGCGCGAACCCCTGAAAAATACTAATTTGTAATGATAATATGATATTAATAATATTATATAATAATATATTAAGTATATAATATATATATACATATTAATATTAAGTATATAATATATTATTAATATATATATATTAATTTCTCAATTTTAACTTTAATATATGTAACATAATATATAATAATGGGATAAACACTAATGGCAAAAATACTAATTTGTAATGATAATATTATATTAATAATATTATAATAATACATGTAAGTATATATATATTAATATAATAATGTAAGTATATATATTAATATAATATTATTATATTAATATATGTATATATATATATATATATATATATATATATATATATATTAATTTCTCAAATTTAACTTTAATATATGTATCATACTATATATTAATAATTAATAATAATAAATTTTTGCTTCACTTTTACTTTCCTCTCAGCCTTCAGCGAACATTTTCTCTTAGCTTTCAACGTTACGTCGTGTCAGACGTAAAACATGTATGAAATATGAATTTCCTATGCTGTATTATATATCATATATGTGAAATATGAGGTATAAATATATATAACATATTATATATATAAATATAAAATACATGTGAAATATATTATAAAATATGAATTTCATATGTTATATTATACATCATCAATTTCACGTATATGAAATGTGAAATATAAATATATACAATATATTATATATATGAATATAAAATACACATGAAATATATATGAAATACGAAGTATAAATGTACATATTATATATATGAATTTCACATGTTACATTATATATCATCAATTTTATATATCTGAAATATGCAGTATAAATATGTATATATGAATATGGAATATATTATGTGTGAAAAACTGAAATTTGCATTTATTAACGTTCAGTTCGAAGAGCTGAAATTGAAAGTTCAAATTCACATCCCAACAAGATTGCAATTTGCCTTTTCTTTCAGATCGGGAACATAATTCCTGCGAGTGTGACTATGTTAGTATAGATAGAGAATTAAGAACATTTGAAAAGAAGAGAGAGAGAGAAAAAAACGCATAGAGCGCACGCAGCGAACACGTGGAGCAGCTGAATAATCGATAACCAAGCACGATACGACACACGCGTGATCGATCGTCCCCAAACGAATCAGACGAGTCACATCTCGACCTTTTTCAATTCCACTGCCTTCGAATTCGACGCGTTTCTCTGTCGCAAGACTGTGGAAAGATTTCAATAAGCCGAGAGAAAGAGAGAGATAATTTTTCAATGAAGAATTTGCAATTTTACGGAAACTCGCTCGTCATCGTTTCCCTCCTCCAAAGCGGAAGACAGATTCACGCCGGAAATAATGTTGATTAGCGACTAGCTGCAAAGAAACTGATATTTATCGCCCGCGCGATAAGCGAGAAAAAAATGAGTGTGAATGTAATTAAAAGCTAAATTCATTGACTGGCGAGAAAGACAGAAAGAAAGAGGTAGAGGGAGAGAGGGAGAGAGAGAGAGAGAGAGAGAGAGAGAGAGAGAGAGAGAGAGAGAGAGAGAGAGAGAGAGAGAGAGAGAGAG